TGTGATCCTGGCAAAGCACCTCAGCGAGCTGGGCCACGGGAGACTGTTAGCAAGACCTCATCTCCACATCAGACTGTGCCCATTTGGGTGCTTCATTTCGCAAGGCTAAGGACTGGGTGATGTATGCGCCACAGGCCTTGCAGGGAGGGATTTATACCAAGGGCTGCTGCTACCTGTCAGCTTCCAGACACACGGACAGCGCGGGGCCTCTCGGGTATTCCCACAAGCTGACTCCAGCAACCAGCCTCACAGCCTAGGTCACCTGGCAATCAACAGGTGGAAGCAACAACTCAGCATCTGCGTGGTTCCCTGGCTGGAATCCCTGCCTACGAGTGGGGCCGGGAGCCAGCCCCACCTGAGCCATTCAGCAGCCTGGCTCGGGAGCCATGGCTCCGGTACTGACCCCAGCGCATGGCTTGCTTTCTGGCCAGCAACCCACAGCCCGCACCCCAAGGTTCACACAAGATGGGTTCAGGCTGGAAATTGAACCTCACGTACTCCCACAAATGCCCAAATTCCCCTGTCCACACCCCTCAACCCGGTCTCTCCGGGTCTTTAATCCTCCTGTTCCCCTACATTCTAATTCCTTTTCCCTTCAGTGTCCTGCCTGTCACATTCTCCCTTCATTACACTGCCTTCCTTCCTGTGCCCCATCTTACCTTCCTCCCCGTAAGTCTACCTGTCTGGGCCCTGTCCCTGCCTCCCCATGTTCCCTCATCCCTCACTACCTGCTCCCTGGACCACACACAGCTACTTCCAACCCCCTGGAAACAGGCGGGATGGGGGCAGTCTTACTAGGGCTACCTCATCTCCACTTGAGAATTGTGTAGGGAACTGGTGGGCGGCCACTTTAGCTGAGCACAGCCTGGCCCCATTCTCACAGTAGGTGACAGTGGCTGGTATTAGCCAGGTCTGAGCAGGCTACCAGCCTCAGGGCACCTCCTGATGGCAACGCACTGCAGGCCCTTTGCCTCAGTTTCCCCACCTGATCTGGTGATTTACATGGCTCTGCCCTCCAGCCAGGTCACTACAACACTTCAGTCCCCTTCCAGGGGAAACAGAATCCAGAGTCCCACTCCAAACACAAAATAAAGGTGTGATTGGCCCAAACAGGCTTAGCACTCATCCCCTTTAGAGTTATTCATCCACTCATCCCCTTGGGCTCAGCTCTCATTCACTCTCCTAGTGAGACACCCCACTGCCAGGGCCTATCAGGTCCCAAGGTACTTCCAAATTGTTCCTTGTCAATGCCTGTCTTCCCGCCAGGCAGGCTCAATCAGGCATCTGTCCTAGCTCAGCTCCAGCTAGGGTCTTCTCTCATCACGTGAATGTTATTGATCTGTACTCCTCCTAACCCAGCCCCCAACTGAGCAGGGCCTTCCCATTTTAGCCTCCTCCCTTCAGTCCTGGCACCCCTACAGGTGTAGCAGGAGGGGCTGATTGGGCCTACAGCCGCACATTAACCCTTCCAGGTCCGGGTGGGGTCTGTGTGAAATGGACAAGAGGCAGAGAATTGGCAGCAAAAGGATTTGTGTCTCCCCTCAGTTACCCTGCCTGATGTTACATGGGCTTGGACAAGTCACCCCTTCTGTCTTGTCATTATGCTAACTGATTTGTTTTAACAAGATTAGTGGTCAAGTCCCGCCCCAGTAAGACATGCATGCGCTCGGGACTTTAAATCAAAGCCATCTTTATACCATATGATGTTGTTGCCCCTTCAGTTTAGCTGTGAGTTCCTATTTGCTGCAAAGGTCCATTTAATGTCATTGCTTTTGCAACCGAATATCCAAAACCAGAGCCTGATGCTGCAGCTGTTATAAAGCACAGATTTTCACAGGGGCCTAAGGGAGTTTGGCACCAAAGTCCCACTGAGTTTCAGTGGGTTTTGGTGCCTAACTCCATTGGGCTCTTTTGAAAATCTCAGCTTACATCAATAGCAAGGTTCCTACTGACTTCAATGAGAGGAAGCTCAGCTGGTGTGATTATCTCAGTGTTGCTCAGCACATGGTCTTTAGACCAAAGGACTGGAAAATATAAATAAGGTGATTTTAAATGTAAAATGTTATTAATTATTATTTCTTAATATTATCACATAACCCCTTCTTCTCTTTAGCCACAGCAGAGCCTAGAGGTGCAACCAAGATTAGGGCCCCATAGTGCGAGGTGCTGTACAAACACGTAGGAGACAGTCCCTGCCCTGAAGAGCTTACAGTCTAAATAGACATGTTAGAGGGGAAACTGAGGCACAGAGAGGTGAAGTGACTTGCCCAAGGTCACCCAAAAGGTCAGTGGCCGTGCTGGGAACAGGATGCAGGTCTCCTGAGGCCCAGTGTATTGAACAAATCTGCCTCTCTGAATGAGCCCTCCAATATACTGTATATTTTGGAATAAATTACGGTAAATTTTTGAAGGCTTCTTGCCTCAAAGATGCTCTGTATAAATACATTGTCCTCATGCTGATATTTTAAACATTGCCTAATGGTTTGGTAGCAAAGATTTGCAAAGAAATCCTGACAGCTGCCCAGAAATATAGACCAGAACACTGGAAAAAAAAAATCATTGCAGTGTGTGACGCGTCTGTAAAAATTCCTAAACAGGATTAGAGTCCTTCATGAAAATTCATCTCCAGAGTAAGCCCATAAGCGACTTACAAACCCCTTCCTCTGAAAACTGTTGTTTAGCTTCCATCTTTGATTTGCCAGCTCTCTTACTAATGCATGGAAAGTCTCAGTTAGATTTTTGTTATCAACAGCAAAAATAACATATCCTGAGCAGAATATATTAGGGTTAGGGAGGAATCTCTTCCTCCGTCTCTCTAATGTTATTACACTTGAACCTTGCTAATTCTTTGCTCCCCTGCAAACATAGGAGCCACAATATGGCATCAGTTTTTAAGGAGAATTCCTGAATGGAATTCTCCCAACCGACCCCCGATCAATGTCACAAAAGACCAGCGGGGTTGGCCCATTTCTCAGCAAAGATTTAATAGTACTGAGTTGTAATTGGCTCTCATATTATAATGATTTGCCTAAAAATAGTAATGTGCCGTGTTACTTGGAGTCTGGTTTGTTTTGTATTGAGAGAGAGGTTCTGTTTCAAGGCATATGATGGACCAAAGTTTCTTTCTTTTCGTTTCTTTCCTTGGTGCAAAGCACTGAATTATCATGTTGAGGGTTCCAGATTTGTCATGGAATTTTTTATAAAATAATCACAGTCATGGTAAATTTAGTAAAAGTCACGTCTGCGCCACGATTTTTGATTAAAAAATGCCCTGACAAATGAAGGGGTACTGACTACCCCCAGCAGCATCCTCTACCCCAGCCCCCCAACCCTAAAACTGGCCTAGAAGGGAAGGAAGGCACAGGCTGGAGAATGAACCCACCCACACTCATCCTGGGCAGTGGTGGCTCCTGTGCCCCGTAGAGCTGAACCTGGCTCTCTGCTCCAGGTGCTGCAACCTGGTATGCTGGATTGCAGCGCCACTTAGGTTTGGCCTGCTGCCTTGCTCCTCGCCATCATGATGGAGCGGTGGCTGGGCCAAATCTGTGACCCCACAACTGGGTTGCAATGCCCAGAGTGGGGAGCTAGGCCCAGCCCCACGGGACAGGAGCTGCAGCTGCAGGGTAAGTCACGGACACAGAAAAAGATCATGGTCAAATAGGAAAATCACACTATCCATGAATTTTTTTTCCTGCCATGACAAACCTGCAGCTGTAATCATGTTGCTTGTAAACCTTCACAGATCCTGCTGCCCTACTGTGGTTCCTTGCTAGGGACAGTGTGCCAATGTCACTTCCTGGTGACGGCTTTTCTGTTGTCTTACGTGGGTTACTCTGCAGGTTGCCAGTGATGGGTCTGGGTTTGCTGTTCACTTGTTCAAAGGAGCAGGTGCAGCAAAGTGATAACTAAGATAGATACATAGAGCATGTTCTGGTGGGCTGACTGGGTTCTCTTATCATGACATTATTAATATTTCCTGGGGACGGCTTTCATCTCACTCCAAATGTAGCTAGATCTTTGCAGGGATTAGTTTGCAGGTCACTCCGGATTTTATGGAGCAGCCATTTTATTTTGTCTGCCTTAACACTAGGGTTTTACAGTAGGTGAGGTGTGACAAGCAAAGCACTGAATCCCTGCCCTGAGGATCATGCAGAACTGCACTAGCTGGTTTTAAGGTTGATTCTTTTCCAAAGCTTCTACTTCTATTTGTGTCTTTTCTGGGACATCAGGATGTCAACATAACTGCTGCCCCTCCTCTGGACTGTTTATCTGGTGGACTGTGTATTCCAGTAATGGACTTTGTTAACCCTTTATTTTTGCTAACTAATTAAAAAAAACCTCATTTCCCCATGCTCTGTCTTATTTATAGGACTTGCAGTCAGGCTTGTCCCTAGCTGGGCTAATTTGGTATGTCTGTGTACGTTGCTGGTTTAATGTTAGCATTTGCTTGTGGCAAGGCTCAGGACGATTGTGTGATACGCCTGCGTTGCCCTTGGAAAATATACTTTCCTGGGATCAAAGTACTGGGAAAATGTTAATGTATTATACCCTGGAGAAATGGAATCAACTATTGCTCGTATGTGGTAGCAATGGAATAACCCCCAGTAGGGGTGTTTAGTTTGCTAGTTTGTAATATGTGTGTACATAAAACTGCATGCACATTACAAGTATTAAAATATAGCAATGTCTATTACATGCAATCACTGCTGCGGTGCATTTAATTAGACTGTTCTCCTTTGAGTATTTGGAGTGGATCATGCACAGAAAAATCTGCATTTTTCTTCCTCAAGCTGTGAATGGTATTTTTTTTTTTTGTTTAAATAATGTAATATGATGCCAGGAAGGAAAAAAGGGGCAGAAACCTGATCTCAATGGATAAGTAAAACTCCAATTAATGTTTAACAAGCTAGAATGGTCCGATGGGACAATAGTGGCGTGATCCGGCACATCCACGCCCAAAAGATTTCGGGAAGCACGTGGAAATCTGAGGGGGGGAGTGTGTGTCTGAGGGGAGCACTTGCCATTCGCTAATCCGGCTCAGCCGCCGCAGGAGCAGCCGATTGCGCTCCCCACAGAGCTCAGCCCGCGCGCCCCGAAAGGCTCCGCGCTAGCCGGGTTCTAGGCTCCGCCTCGCGCCTCCTAGCCGGGTTCTAGGCTCCGCGGCCCCCGATCCCTGGGTTCTAAGGCTCCCAGGAGCATGGGCCGCTGCCCCCGCGCTCTGCTGCTGCTGGGCACGCTGGCCCTGCTGGCCCCGGGCCCCGCTGCTCAGGATGACCACGACGAGTACGACGAGCTGGTGCTGTCCTTCCCCTCCGAGGAGGAAAACCAGACGGAGGTCGGGAAGCACCTGGGCTCGGCCGCTTTCTACAGGACGAACAAGGTGAGCGGCGTCGGGGCAGGCGGCAGAGGGGGCCGGGGGCACGTAGCCCGCCCTTGGGAAGGGAGCTGGAGCCTGGGGTCCGCGCCCGGGGGCTGTCGCCTTGGCAGCCCCTCTGCTGCTCCCCGGGCGGCGGGCACCGCCGGGGACTCGGAACCCGGGGGCCGCCGAGCACCAGGGCACGCGGCCGGGGAGCCGCCTGGTGCAGAAGAGACGCTGGAGCTGCTCAGCCTAGGGCGAGGCAGGGGAGCCCCGGGGGTAGGGCACGAGGCCGGGGGAGCTGCTTTCTGGTTCTGCCTCTGGCTCCTCGGCTGATCTTGGGCAAGTCCCTTAGCCGCGTGGTGCCTCCGTTTCCCTGGTTCGTGCACATGGCTCCGCTGCAGCTTTGCGTGCCGCGCTTATGCAAAATAAAAGGAAGAACTCGCCCCACAGCGCCGGCTTCTGCCCCGGACCACCCACCTCCCCAAGTCCTTTCCCCTCGGGGGGCAGGCCCATAAGTGCTGGAAGTAGGGGTGCTGGGGGTGCAGCAGCACCCACGGCTTGAAATGGTTTCCATCATAAACGAGTTTGGTTCAGCACCCACCGCCGCTATAAAAATGGTTCCAGCACCTCTGGGCAGGACCCAACTCTCTTCCCGCCTCCAACCCCTCAGGGGCAAGAGCCTCCTCTTCCCCCAGGAGAGTCTCCCCCACCCCCAAGGGCGAGACCTGATTCTCCCCCACCCCCAGGACTCCCTCTCCAGGGGGGCAGGACCTTCCCTCGCAGATAAAATGAATAAAACAAACTGTTATAAAGAATAAAAAGAATTTTGCAGGCTTTAGGTGCGCTGCTGCTTGCCCACCTGTGGGACCTCCTGATAAAAGGTCTCTGTGTTAGTGCTGTGGGTTGTGATGAGGATCAGGTGGATCTCGGCATAAAAGAGCTGCTGAGACAGAGCTGACATGCCTAGAGCCTCTTGTGCAGCAGGCGAGAGGCGACTGTGCCATGGGATGGCAAGAGGGATGTGTGCATGCCACCTTGTCGGTGTGAGCTCCCTGGGTGGCTGTTGAGTGTCTCTTGTGCCCTGTGACAGCCAGAGAAATCAAATAAATAAAGCTTTGCGCTGTGGAGCGTGCAGGGCTGGAGGATTGCAAAGCAGCCATGCTTGGGAAGGAGGCTTAGGGAAGTTCACATTAGGGTGCGGGGGCATGCAGTGACTTGTGGCACTAACTTGTTGCAGCTACGATGGGCTGGTGCCTTAGGCTGTGGACCTGGCCACAGTAGTTTGTTTCCTACCTCTTTTGGGAGCGGGCTCTTAAGCCCTTGTAGACCCAACTGTGTGACTTTGGAAACAGAGCTCTGGTGGGACTCTTTTCTTACCCTTGTGGAGGGGAGGGTTTGGCTAGTTTGGTTAGTGATGTGGAAAGCTGCAGGTGCAGAAGGATTTGGGGAGGAGGGCAGTTGGCTTGTGCTGAGAGTGAGGGAGGGTTCTGGTCACTGAGGGTGGGATTGAGTATATGGGATGGGGCTGGGTTTGTGTCCCACCCGCTGACCTGCTAGACTGTGCACTTAACCCTCATTCTTGCCTTCTACCTCCCCATGATGAATTGGTGATTTCACACTGTTTGGGGCTTTGGTAAGATGTTTTCCAAGTATAATGCAGCTGCCACAGCCATGGCATAGAGAGCGTCTGTGTCCATGCAGTTTAACAGTGTTGCCAGCTCTCATAAGTTTTTCTTCCAAGTCCCAGCTCCTGGAGTCAAGTGATGATGTAAAAATCTTCCTTTTGTTTTGTAAGTTTCTAGCCCTTAAGGTTGCAGAGGACAATTTGGAAATGTGATCCAATGGGCTCTGCAGACTCAAAAACCAGAAGCCAAAGACAACCTCCATTATTTTTTAAAAGATCTCATGCCTGTGAAGCCAATCTCATGATTTTTGAATGGTTAGGGCTCACAATACTGCACACAGTTCTTTCCTTCTGATCATGTGTAGATTACATTACAAAATGAACTCTGCTGAGCTGATTAAAGTAACAGCTCAAGCAACTGAGCTTGCAGTGAGAATTTGACCAGCAGTGTTTGCTCTGTGAAGGTGCATGGCTTTGAAAAATCTGCTTCTGCTTGTTTAAATTCAGGACATGTGGAGATTACCCGGGCAGTACATAGTGGTGCTGAAGGAGGAAACTCATAAATCCCAGACAGAGAGAACCATCCACAGGCTGCAAGCTCGAGCAGCGAAGCATGGCTACCTAACCAAAATCCTTCACATCTTCCAGGATCTGTTCCAGGGATTTCTTGTTAAGATGAGCAGTGATGTGCTGGATATGGTAAGAGGATGTTGCCCATCTGTCTTTTCAGCCTGCACTGGTTTTGTTTTCTGTTCAGAGGCATCTGGGGTAGGGCAGGCAGTGTGGAGAGTAGGTTTTTTTCCCAGTGGTAACAGTTCTGTTTGAGGCAAGAAACATGTAGATTGAAAGGCAGGCAGGCAGGAAAGCAACATAGGCTGGAAGTAAAAGGATCCAACCTAGAGAATGTTTGTCTCGATAGTGAGAACATCTAGAGTTGCAAGAGTAAGGATTAAAATACCACCTCTCCATCCACATGTTTGCAAGGGTTTGTGAATCCTCATGCTTCAGGGCAGGGCTGGCTCCAGCTTTTTTGCCGCCCCAACCGGCGAAGCGGGGGGAAAAAAAAAAAAAAAGCTGATTGGCAGCACTTTGGCGGCAGCTCAGTCGCGCCGCTTCATTCTTTGGCGATGAGTCTTTCGCTCCCTCTCTTCCACTTCGGCGGCAGTTCAAAGAGGAAGAGAGGGACTGAGGGACCCACCACTGAATTGCCGCCGAAGACCCGGACGTGCCACCCCTTTCCATTGGCCGCCCCAAGCACCTGCTTCCTTCGCTGGTGCCTGGAGCCTGCCCTGCTTCAGGGCACAAACTAATCTCTAATTTACGGGTTTAAGGAAGAAACTTTCCTGTGGGTTTATTATTCCATAACTGCCTGCATGAGGCTTTTTGTAACTTCCTCTGAAGCATCTGGTGCTGGCCACTGTCCAACACAGAATCCGGATTAGGTGGACCTTGGGTCTGACCCGTCTGGCAATTCCACTGTCCCTCTCCAATCTGACAAAAGTCATTGCGCTGATTTTGCATACCTGCTTTCCAATGCCCGCTGCTTTGTGTGGGATCTCACTGATATTTGAAACAAATTGTGAATGGTGGGTCTGTAAAACTCAGAAAGAATCCAAAGTAAGGCAGATCCAATCAGGAATCCAAGGTGATGCAAGTCCCAGGTACTCTACCCACATGGCTGGATACAGACTTGTGGCTGCTAGTCATATGTCTTCACTGATCAAAGAGCACGTGGGAGTAATTTGCAGTTAAGCTGAGGCAATACAGTGCTCCTCTTCTGAGGAGGTGATTGTGAGAAGAACATGGACTTTCCACAGGAGAAGAAATTCAGTTAAAGAGCTGTTTTACTTTGTGTTCTCTCTTGACAGGGCTGCTACAGATTTAGGAGCCTGGGCCATTCACAAGTTGTTTGTTTTTGCTGCATTAGGACAATCATTTTGCAGTTGCAGACATGGACGTCAGCAACTCTCCATCTCCCCACAGCCCTACTCCGTCAGGGTGTCTGGGGTCGTGTGAGCGTGTTGCCACATAGCGACTTGAGTTTGAGGTCTGCCCTTTGCTCCCAGGGCAGCGGGAGTGCCTGGCACTGATCTCTCTCATTACGCTTTGCACCTTCCACTTGAGGATCTCCGAGCGCTTTGCTGAATTTAACCTCACAGAACCGAGGCACAGAAATTAGTAAACGAATGTGGTAGAGCGAGGCCTAGAACCCGAATTCCCTGACAGCCAGATCTGTGCCTTAGCCATCAGACCATCCTTCCTATGTCTCTAGGAACCCCCCTGGCCTTCCAGAGCAAGTGGCATTGATGAGCTCTGCAGGGAGCTGCATCCAGCACTGCTCACGGGAAAGTCAGGTCACGGTGGTACATGCGTATTCTAGCAAGGAGGGCTACAAAGGGCACAACCTTGGAGCTACAGGGGCAACCGCTGGAGGTTTAGTATCCTGTAAGTGCATTGGGAGACTCCTGCTCTCTACCAGCATTTTGTCTGTGGTTGCACCTCCGCTTGGAGCTCTCCCACCCTAGTGGAAGATACTGGTCATGTGGGTGGGGTTGGGCAGACCGGAATGGGCACATCAAGAATATTGTGAAACTCATTGTGACCGTCATCAGTCTTAGAGCCAGTTCCTCTTGGAAATCGAGGCTACTGCATGGCTCCGTCTCCCACGGTGTCAGTTCTTCGTCCCATGTGCAGGGTTCCATAGTACAGCTATGGGACAGGAGCGAATGGGGCTGGAATGTCTGGAGTAACAAATCCTGCTCTCACACTCAGAGTGAGGACTGTGTTCTCCACTGTGTGAACTGGTGCAGTGCCACTGACTCCAGGGCATCCGTTTACACTCACAGAGTGTTTGGCCCCTAATGTGCCGCTCTGAGTCTGGGATTGATTTGACATCCTTTTCACCCCACATTCGACAAATAAAGCTCTGTGGGGGTGTCATCCTGCTGGTTGGGCCGTGACCAGTTGAGCACTCAGCTCTCATCAGCTTCAGTCGTGCAGGGTCAGAGCCTAAATCTTTATTCAGGAGAGAATAAGCCACCTGCCTTGGGCAGCTGCAATCTTTCCTGGCCCGGTGCGAGGAAGCTGCTAGATAGAACAGCTGAGAGCATCCCATGTGGTTTCTGTTCTGCGTGGTGTGTCCAGGCCATCTCTTTGTGATGTTTCTTTTGCACAGGCTTTGCGGCTGCCGCACGTTGAGTACATTGAAGAGGACTCCTACGTGTTTGCTCAGAGCATTCCCTGGAACCTTGGCAGGATCGTCCCGGCACAGTACAAGTCTGGCGAATATAACCCTCCCAGTAAGGGCTCCCTCTTTGAATGTATTTTAAAGGAGAATTCATGGGGCAGCAGACGATTTCCAGGGGCAAAATTGCATCCTCCAAATGCATGCAGAGAGAGTAGGAAACCTGCGCAAATGTAGTTCCAAGTGTGTGCAGAAAAGTGGGAGAACATGAATCTCAGACAGCACCTTTCTTCCTACCCCAGTGGGACCGATGTCCTCTTCTCCAGGGAGTTTGTTGGCATCTTTGGCACTCTGAGCTTTTGAGGGGGCGAGGCTTGCTAGGGAGGGGGCCGAGCCAATCAACTCTCCATGGTAACCTTCCCCTCCAAATCTGGGATACATTTAGCTTGCGGGGACAGGGCAGGTTGGCATCCTCTGGAGCAGAGCCCTTGGTCTACACTGTTTTCTCTTGCTCTCCCTGCAGCTCGATAGCGTCTTCTGCGCTTCCTTAGGAGGAAGGAGTCGAGAACGGAAGAAACCACTATAGCTATGGTTCTAGGGGGCCAGGGAGCTTGCATAACTACCCTGGAAGTCAGTGGGAGCTGTGTGCATGCAGCGTTTGCAGGATTGGGCCCTATATAGGCACTGGATGGATGCATTGTTTGTTGTTATTTCCCTTGCAAGCCACTGTTTGCAAGAATTGATAACTTGGCTGTAAAAATGTAGCCATGTGGTTTGTAAGATGGCAGTGCCCAGAAAACATCTGTGTCTCATCGGCTAGAGTGCTGGACTGATGACAGCTACGACTGCTCTGGTCCTAACGGGGTGTGTTGCTTTCTGAGGGCATTGCCGCCTTTCACTGACTGCGCCGTGGCTTGTGTTTGGTAGATAAAGGAGATCTGGTGGAGGTTTACCTGCTAGACACCAGCATCCAGAGCAACCATCGGGAGATAGAGGGCAGAGTGTTTGTGACGGACTTCGAGAACGTGCCAGAGGAGGACGGCACACGCTTTCACAGACAGGTGGGTGAGCCTGTGGGCTCTGTCAGGGTCCTGGGCTCTCACTGCCTGTGAGAGGAACAGCTTGGGCTGGTGGAAAGTTTTCCGTCAAAACTGTTCTTCAGCGGAAAATGGAGTTTTTGATTATAGTTTTTCATGAAAAAGTGTTGGATTTCCATGGACGATTTCACTCTGTCCTTGAGACACCCAAAAATTCAGCCAAACAGTTCTATTGGGATATGCTGCCATGGTGCCGCCTATCCCTCTGCTCTGTGGGCCGGGCTTGCTAGCTGGACTCCATCTCCCATGAAGCACCCTGGTCAGGGGCTCCCATGATGCACCACCTCTCCAAGAGGGGAGACTGTAGTCCCTCCTGGGAGATGCAGTCCAACCAGGGAGCCAGGATGCAGAGGAGAATGGGAGGACGAGGCACCCAGATTACGACTTCATGACGTGCTGCGGCAGCATTTCTCAATCAGAACTTCCTGGGTTTTGAACGCTTTCTGATTTTCTAATTTGAGCTGAAAAACCAAGTTTTCTCTGTGTGTGTGGAGAGGGGAACCCCCATTTTCCAATCAACTCTAGCAACAGCTTCAGGGAAGATCGCACAGCGACTGATGCCAGGGCACTGTCTACACGAGGGTTTTCTGCTCTGTTTGATGGAGGATGCCAAACACAGCTCAGCTTTCCAAGCCTCACCTCCACACGCGGCTGTCCTCTGTTGTCCTGCTGATGTGGAGTCCCACACGTGCTTTAACCAGGCCTGCTCCACCCGTTTTGAATTCCTGTTACACAGTGGGTGTTTCGTTTGTGCCCATGCCACCTACGCAGTTGTATTCATAGGCTCTTGGCCTTGGTAGAGTTCCTTGAGCCAGTATTCTGAATTGGAATTATTAGCTGAAGGGTCTTGGCTCCAGAAACGCCGGAATTCTTCTACCAAGCTCAGCTACTGACTTGCTGGATGACCTAGGCAACCTCTCTGTGCCACAGTTTGCACATCTGTAAAATGGGACTAATAATACCTGCCTCATAAGGGTATTGTTAGGATTGCTTAGCTAGTATTTGCATATGGGCTCAAAGGCTAAGAACACCTGCATCTCAGGTTCACAGCCTAGGGCCTTCAGTGGGATTGGAGGGTGCCCAGCAAGGATGGTTAGATGGGTAACAAGACTATCCAGAGTTAATGCAAACAAATAATTTTGGAAGGGATAAAACCTCATGCTTCAGGGCTTAGGCCAGACTCTAAATACTAGGGATCAGGATCAAACCTTCATGGGGGGCAGATTGTTTTGAGCATTGGCCTGCTAAACCCAGCGTTGTGAGTTCAATCCTTGAGGGGGCCACTTAGGGATCTGTGGCAAAATCAGTACTTGGTCCTGCTAGTGAAGGCAGGGGGCTGGACTCTGACCTTTCAAGGTCCCTTCCTGTTCTAGGAGATAAATTAAATAAATTAATGGAGATATCCTATTTATTTATAAGCATCTGGTGCTAGCCGCTGTCAGACACAATACTGGGCTAGATGGACTATGGGTCTGACCCAGCCAGCAATTCCTGTGTTATTTAGCAGCTGTGTCACTGAAAATGGCTAATACACTAGAGAATAGCATAAAAGTGTCATGATAGAAATGGTGGTAGCAAATAAAGGGCCTGATCCTGCACGCACTGACATGCATGAGTCCCTCTATATTGACGTCCGTGGAACCACTATCCTGCGTGTGAGAGTGTTTGCAGGATTGGGCCCCAAGCGTGTGTATTGGGGCCAACGCATGGGATGGTTCTGGAAACGTTTGCTGCCTTGCTTGACTTCCCCTCTCTGGCAGGCCAGCAAGTGCGACAGCCACGGAACCCACATGGCCGGGGTGGTGAGCGGGAGGGACGCTGGCGTGGCTAAGGGAGCCAGCGTTCGCAGCCTTCGGGTGCTGAATTGCCAAGGCAAGGGCACGGTCAGTGGGACCCTGATTGGTGAGTAAGAACCATCGAGGTGTGTCGTGTCTAACCCTCGAGAGCCTGATGGGACAGTTGGGATTTTAGGGCCAATTCAACGCCCACTGAAAGCCAACGCCCATTGGCTTCAGTGGCACTTGGCTCCGGCCTGTGGGGCCAGATTGTCAGAAGTGCTCAACTCCCATTTAGGCACCTAAGTGGATTTTCAGAAGTGCCCTGCACTCAATCTGCTGAGCACTTTTGAAACTGACCTTTAGCACCTCACTGTGATGTGCCTCTGAACACCCTGTGGCAGGGTGCACTCGTCCCGAGTGAACAAGGGGTTAACCACTTTTCCCAACCTCCCTGCCAGTGGACAGGTGAAGGACCATACACTAGTTGCTGCAGGAATACAGGGCTACACACCCAACTTCCTAAGGCTGGGCTGGAGCCCTGCCGGGGGAGTTCTCTCTCTTTCTCTCTCTCTCTCTAGATTGTGTTTAGATTTCTGGTTACCGTAACCCTGGTCCCTGGAAGGAGAGCCCGTCCCAGAGGGCACCTCTGCTGGGGTTCTGTTGACTCATCCCATCAGCATGCTCGCCTGTACGGAGCAACAGTTGCTGATTCACCGAGTCTCTTTCCCTGTCTCAGTCCATGAAAGGATATTTACGTGAAAAGGATCTTGCTTCTTTCCAGCTGGAGGGGAGAGCTGAATCTGGCCCCCCACTTCCCAGCTAGCAGGATGCGAGTGAGTCATTAGCGCTGTCCTTTTCTGTGATCGTTCTCTGTCCGTTTCATTTGTACGTGATCAACAGGCCTGGAGTTTATCAAGAAGACCCTGACTGCCCAGCCCTACGCCCCCTTGGTGGTGTTGCTCCCCTTTGCTGGAGGCTACAGCCGTGTTTTGAATGCAGCTTGTCGGCTCATGGTGCAGACGGGGGTGGTAATGATTGCTGCAGCTGGCAACTACAAGGAGGATGCCTGCCTGTACTCACCTGCGTCTGAACCGGAGGTATGGGGCTGGGACACTGTGCTTTCACGGATTGAGACACCTGGCTTCTATACTTGACTCTGCCACTGTTTTGCTGTCGTCTGGCCTTGACCAAGGCACGTCACCCCATCTGTGCCTCAGTTTTTTTGGGTGTAGAATGGGGATAACAATCGCTTCCTGCCCTTTGGACAAAGCGTGCTATGGGTCAGAGTCCCCACTGCAGTTTGTTCATTGGCGAGGGGGCGGGGAAATAAGGAACTTTGCCTCCTCCCTTGCTCAGGCCACACAAGGCTATGCACAATCGCGATCCCTGCTCTCGGGGAACACACAGATCATTCTGCTGCTTCTCTATGGCTCCCTAAATGGGACGGCGGAATCCCCCTCCCCCAGGCACTTTTGTGTGGGTTGTGCTCGAAAGGCACCATATGGTGCAGGATCTGTTAACGCTCTGCGGGCAGTGCAGCGGGCTTGTTCGCAGTACCTGGGGTATTGCAGACAGTCCAACGATGTGACCTGCGACTCCCAGGTCCTGCCCCTTCCTTGTTGGCCGGGACACTGCACCTTGTTGTAGATGGAGTGTCACTCGGTGGCTGACAGGAAACTCGTGCATGAGGTAGAGACTTATTGGCTGGGGCAGCATGACTTGGCCTGAGTGTCCTTGATCGTGTCAGTATCTGTAGTCCCCGAAGCACATTACTCTTGCTGGAAGGAGCTCTGGGCTCCTGGCTATATTCACCCTGGCAGTGAACTTTCAGAGTCTCCCTGAGGAATTATATAGTCCTGGTCCTTTCCAATTCCTCCAATCCTGAAGGAGGGGTGTGGCTTTGTGTTCCTGTAAAGGCAAAGCGTTATTCAATAGCACTCACCCTGGTGGGCAGGAGGAATTGTACAGGCCGGGGTGGATTTGTTTGGGAGTTTTAATGCAATTATGGACCAGCCGTTCGCTGCTGACATCCCAGTTGAGTCGTGTCATTGCGCTGTAACCCTCAGGTGATCACTGTCGGGGCAACCGACTTCCAGGACCAGCCTGCCTCCATGGGAGCCTTAGGAACAAACTTTGGCCGGTGTGTGGATGTCTTTGCCCCGGGTGACGATATCATAGGGGCCTCCAGCGACTGCAGCACCTGCTTCACTTCCCAGAGCGGGACGTCCCAAGCCGCTGCACACGTGGCAGGTGAATTGATTTTTTTTTTTTTTAAATGCATGCAGCAGTAAGATCAAGCAGTAGTGGCTGTGTGACCGTGTGCCCAACAGGGTAAAAATGAACCATCCCCAGCAAAGCACATTACATTGACTAGCACAAGTGCAACCTGGGCAGAACTGGGTTTTATCACACCTCGGGGGTGTGGTTAAAACGTGAGTCCTAGCTTCTCTGACGGGAGTGGGGAGGCATTGGACTTGGGTTTCCTGTGTTACCTGGGGAAAGTCATTTAAATTATCTGTGCCTCAATTCACCATCTGTGACACTAGGAAAATAGTCCTTTGTCTATGTAGTGCAGTGGTCCCCAACGTTTTTCGTCCGGCGGGTGCCAAACGACGAGCCATGGAGGACTGTGGCGGCAGATGAGCATCCGCTGAAATGCCGCTGACAAGCGGCAACGTCAATAGGCGTCGCCGCCGAAATGCTGCCGAGAAGCAGCGTCATCCAGAGGCGTCGCCGCCGAAATGTCGCGCAGCGACGCCTCTGGATGATGCTGCTTCTCGGCAGCATTTCGGCGGATGCTTATCTGCCGGCCAGTATGTGGGCGCACTTAGACGCCCCGGTGGGCGCCATGGCGCCCACGGGTACCGCATTGGGGACCCCGATGTAGTGTGTGAGCTCTGTGGGGCAGGGACTGTCTCCTGTTATGTGTTTGTACAGCGCCTAGCGCAACGGAGGCCTGATCTCCATTGGGGCTTCTAGGCCTTGCCAAATAATACATTGGTGCTGTAAAGAGCAGCCATGTTTTATCCCTCTCAGGTAACAACTGCTGTGTCTCTCGTAGTAAAGACAAGACAGGACTTGGTTGCAATCAGGTGATTCGTTTCTGAGGCTGCTGGAAGGTGACCAGAGTCATGCAGTGTAGGTGGGGCCCTGCAGACAAACAGGCATCGTGCTGCCCCGGGGGAAGGTGTAAGATAAAAACTACAGTACACAAGGCTGCAAGTAGTCGTGCATGGCCTGATGCTACATTATTCGAGAGCAGTGGCCCCAGGACAGCCATGGCCCAGAGCTACCATTGCTATAGCCTGTGAGTACATCTACACTGCAAAGCAAATCCCATGGCACCAAGGTTCAGAGCCCGGGTCAATTGACTCAGGCCGGGGGGCTAAAAATAGCAGTGTAGACGTTCCCGCTCGGGCTGGAACCCGGGCTCCGAAACCTTCCCCCCTTGCCGCATTTCAGAGCCTGGGGTCCAGCCCAAACGGGAACATCTGCGCAGCAATTTTAGTCCCACAGCCTAAACCCTGCAAGCCTGACTCAATTGTCCCACGCTGTGGGTTTTTCTTTGCAGTGTAGACATACAGTGACATCTGGGCCACATCGGGTAAGGCCCTCCCTGTGCTGTCCACCTACATCAGTACATCAATTTCTGCCCCTGCCCTGTCTCCAGCCTTACAAAGCAGCTTCATGCAAATCCATGCCTGGGCCCTGATTAAGCCGTGAGACATGCCCAGCTGTGTGTTACGGTCTAATAGTGATATGCCTTGTGGATTCCTGGGCCCAAGGCTGAGTGCTGTTAACTGTCAACACGTTTCCGTCTTCGACCATAAATACACACGCTCTGTCCTAGTGTGATTGTAGAATACGGCTCCCTACGGGATGAACAGGCAGGGGAAGAAGGGAAAACGTTTACGAGGAGGAAAATGCTTTCAATTAGGCGGCAGGTTCCGTTAGGGGAAAATAGTCCCAGATGGCAACAGTTTTTTTTATGCTAGGTCATTAACATTTTTAATGGAGACATTTAGGTGAGTGAATCCTTTTTGAAGCTGACGCTGTGGAGAGGAGGCTGCAGGGACCTGTGGTTCCCTAGATGATTCTTGCCTCGTGCATCTCCCTCCCCCAGGCTGATGTGTATCAGGGAAGAATTAAATGAAGAAACAACCTGAACTTGTGCATTAAAATGTTTCTGCCTGGAGGTTAAGTTTAAGGATCTCAAAGGTGGGATCCAGTCAGGAGAATATTGGTTTTGCAAAGCAGAACTTCCTTTCGTTCCCGATTCATCGCAGAGTGCAATGGGAGGCCCGCGCTGCACTGGAGTATGACTGAAAAGGCAGCGTGATATCCAGGGTGCGATGAGGTCCGGTTCCTAATGGAGAGCTCGTCTGGTGCAGTGCCGTCAGTGACCCAGTAGCCACGTGTCACAGATCCACAGCGTCTGGTGCATGCCCCAGCCTGTGACCCCTTTTGTGGGTTGGGCCCCAAGGACTCCGATAGGTCCACAGGGATAAGTCCGGGGCCTCCAAGACTCTGAAACTGGGCTTGTGGGTGCCAATGATCCATGGCTCCCTGCAGTGAATCCATCCAAGCCAGACTCCTGTGGGAGGCTTGTATGGTGCCCCTTCAGGGCGCCGTGCTCTCAGTGAGTGTTTGCAGCCACCCCAGGCCGCCTCTCCAAAACAAGCTAACAATTTAGTAGGCACCTGGCCTGCAGCATCGGACAGTCTTTAGGTTAGCAAAGAGAGGAAAAGGTGAAGACAGAGTCTGGCTTGGCTGCGGTGGAAGCCATCTTGTCTTGCTCTCCTACTAGTCTCTGTCCCTTTGTCCTTGGCCCCAGGTCTGTGGGTCTCTCTCCAAAGGCCGTCTCTTAACCCAGGCACCTGACATCTTGTCTCTTGGTTCTCCAGCTGCGGCCTTTGCTCTGCTTCCCTGACGAGGGGTGGGGGGAAAATCTCCTCCCTCTTGGTTGCTAGTTGTGAATGTTCTGGCCCTTGGGGTTCCCACTCTCTTTCTGGATCCTCCACTGATATGGGTCTGTCTCAGCCAGTCCTTAGATGACCCATTCATACCATCCCAGGCAGTTAGGTGACGTAAACACCTCATGTCCCCTGCTCTATCCCAAGAGTAGCTGTGTAACCTTCACAGTTCGTGCACAGCAATGCAAAGCACAGAGGGACACTGAGGCATGCATAGGCATCCTAAAATATTCCCAACATTCCCTCTTCATTACACCATATGACAATCGCAATCTCAGGTACTCATGTGTGTCTGCTCCAAGGACAGTGCACACGTCATTCATATGACCTAAATACAGGTCTTTGTCCCCTGCTAGTGGTTGATCTACAAAAGAGGCTTGTGAGCTGACTATCATGCTACTAGGGGCTAGGTTGGGAGGTAGACGCTTATGCTTTCAGTGTGAGAGATCCTGGGTTCAAACCCCACTGATGATCCATGGTCGGCGGTCATGTCTCTCCCCCCCCCCGCCCGAAAGGTGCCTGGTTCCGAATTGACATAGCTGCAGTGCAAATACAAGTGTAATGAAGACTTGGTTTTGGTGATACAAATTCTGCAATGGCGTTGCAAGCTGTAAGCTACCCTAATCTAAAGCAGACGTGCTGCCGCTTGCCTGTATTCTCCAGGGATTTCTATACGCGTTTTGATGTTTAAATAAACATTTTACAATCGAAATGGCGTGTGCGCTTCTCTCCTAGGCATCACAGCCATGATTCTGAACACTGACTCTGCGCTGACGCTCTCCGAGCTGAGGCAAAGGCTAATTCATTTCTCCGCCAAAAACCTTATCAATGAGGCTTGGTTTCCTGAAAACCAGAGGCTGGTCACGCCCAACAGAGTGGCAGGACTGCCCAGCAGACTCGTAGCCGGTAAGTTACGCATGCTCCATGGGGGAGATGCACAGCAAAGGGAGAGGCTCCAGGGGACAGCATTGCCTTGATGAGGTGGCTGAGATGTGCATGACTGAAATGACCCCCACGTAGGGGCTGGAATTCTCCTCTGAGGATATGTCTACAGTGCAGTGAAAAACCCACAGGTGGCCCGTGCCAGCTGTTTAAATATGGTGTAGATGTGAGGGCTGCAGACCATCCACATTGCAATTAAACTGTCCCTTAGCACCAGCCCGAGTCAGCAGACATGGGCCAGCTGTGGGTTTTGAATTGCATTGTAGGCCTAAGGTAAGTTATCCCTAGTGACTTGGCCGGGCTGGATTTGTGCAAAGAAAGTCGCGTGGGGGTTGCCAGATGGCTGGTTTTCAACCATAAAGTCTAGTCAAAAAGGGGACCCGGCCGTATCCGGTCAGATGTACTGACTGGACACCAAAAATTCGGTTACTGCGGGCAGGGTGGCAGGTGAGACGCCAGGTCATCAACCCACAGCAGTCCCTGCTCAGCCAGGGCTGCCTCCTACCTGCATCTCATGGGCAGGCAGGCAGCAGGCTCCTCCTCAGGCTGCAGCTCCCATCCCTGCCCCAGAGCAAAGGGAGCCCAGCTGTGGGGGGGAGGGAGGAGGAAAGGATCAAGTGACTAGGAAGGGGGCAGTGGAAGAGCAGCGAGCAAGCAGGGGGCGGGGCCTTGGGGGGAATAGGCGGGGCAGGGGCGAGGCGGGGGGGTCCAGTTTTCAGAAGTTGCCAGGGAGTTTGTGCATGTCGAGGGCGCAGCGGGGCTTGCTCTCATTCTAAACCTCTTGCGGATCAGCGATATGCATAGGCGCCAACTTTCCCCAGCACCGGTGGGTGCTCGTGCTCCCTGGCCTTGCCCCGACTCCATCCTTTCCCTGCCCCGCCCTGCCCCCATTCCAGCCCCTCCCCCAAAGTCCCTGCTCCCAACTCCGCCCCCTCCCTGCCCCTATTGGACCCCATCCCCAAATCCCGGCCCCGCCTCTTCCCTGAGCGCGCCGCGTTCCCGCTCCTTCCCTCTCTCCCAGCACTTGCTGCGCGAAACAGGTGTTTCGCGGCACAAGCGCTGGGAGCTAGGGGGAAAAAGCAGGCACGCGGCGCTCTCAGGGGAGGAGGCGGAGGTGAGCTGGGGCGGGGGGGCAGGGCGGGGAGCTGCCGGTGGGTGCTGAGCACCCACCAATTTTTCCCCATGGGTGCTCCAGCCCCGGAGCACCCACAGAGTCAGCGCCTGTGGTGATGCATGCTGCTTGGTGCGGAACCGAGCCCACTCGTTGCCATTTTACTCCCGTGAAGAAACGTGGCCCCTGGAGCATTCCGTGTGCTCCTGAGGACGCAGCATCGACTGGAAGCCAACCTGCCGTGCGGGACTGACAACTGAGCCGTCCCTTTTCAGGTGAGCAGCTGTATTGCCGCTCCGTGTGGTCTGCCCAGTCCGGGTCGACTCGCTCTGCGACGGGCGTTGTGCGCTGCAGTGGGAACGAGGAGATGCTCAGCTGCTCAAGCTTCTCCACGAACGGCAAGCGGCGAGGAGAGCGTATCGAGGTGATGCTCCATCCGCTGGTGGTTTGGGGTGCTGCAGTTGACCCTCATGCATCTCATGTCCTGTTGAAATCTCTCAGGCCCAGTCCCTCAGAGGTACATAGGTGCCTGACTCCCTAAATACCTTAGAGCATCTATGCCTCAGCCTGTAGGACCGAATAATTCATTGAGGGTCCCACCATCAGGCCTTACACAGGCAAAACTTCCCAGCACTCCAGAGGCATTTTGTCTCTATCAGGGCTGTCGGATTTGTCCCTTAGAAAATAGTGTGTGTGGGGAACAACCTCAAGGCTCCTGCAGCTCCCGTGAGCAAGGACTAGGCACGTCGGAAACGTTGCCTTACAATGGTGCCTTCTGAATTGTAGGTTCATGGAGGCAGGAAGCAGTGTGTGGCTCACAATGCATTTGGCGGCCATGGTGTGTACGCGATAGCGAGGTGTTGCATATGGCCCAAAGCTGACTGCCAGATTCACACCCGCTCCCCGACTGCGGATGGTACTTCGACAACTGGAGTGGGCTGCTCCAAGGAGAACCATGTTTTGACAGGTACAGTAGGCTGTCTTGCTGATGACAACAAACGCCCTCTCTACCTAGTCACCTGTGCAACCAGAATAATCCTACTACATTCACTTGGGAAGTTCAGTTTAATATTCGTAAAGTGCTTGGAGGTCCTTGGATTAATTTATATCCGTGGTCTTATTTATGTGCTGTATGGGCTGGTTTGCTAGTTCCTGAACTAAGCAGCCAGCTGATGCCTTAGTCTATGTTTCCAGTACTTCATGTTCTCCTCGTATGGGAGATTGTGACACACACTCATTCCCTTAGCATGCTGACCGCTTCAGTGACTCAAAGCACCTCTCGCTGTTGTTTGTGGGTTCCAGTTCCTGGATTTTGGGTGGTTTGCAAAATGAATAATCTGTTAGCCCTGACGTTCAAAATTAAACACCCTACTTAGGTCACAAGTACAATTTTTGGGTCTTGTCTTACCCTCCAGAGTGTATTTGCCCAGGTATCACGATCACCATTCTGGTTTGACTGGCATCCTCCACTCTGGAGTGGCCTCTGTTGGTGATATCCGAGAGCATTTCATACCAGGATTGAGGTGCACTGGCAGAGATGCGCCCCCCCCACCATTCCATGCTATTTTCTGCTTCATGTTTTTGAGCGAAACCGATTTCCCTGACAATTAATTGCTCACGAGAGCAGGCTTTGAGCATTCACCTTGAAGCGTTCTGTATTATTGGCAGGTTGTAGCTCCCATTCTCTTGCTGGAGAGTTTAGTGACAACGTCAGACCCGTTCTAAGGATGGAGACCGGACACCACCAATGCGTAGGTAGAACGGATGTGACCTTGCATACTTCCTGCTGCCACGCCCCCCGCATTGAATGCCAGGTGAAGGAACACTCACCCGTGGGCTTCCAAGAAAAGGTACGGCAGAACCAATCACCGTAGGTATTTTCAGAATCCTTTTGCTAGCTGTCTATTGAAATCATTCTTACTACATTCGAATGGTTCTTTATCCCCGCCCCCCCATAAAGCTGCTTTACTTAGCATCACTCCAGTCACTGAAATAAATGGAGCTGTCCCTGCTTACCCAAGTTCTCAATCTGACCCATATTTATACTTCCCCACAAAGAGTGATTCCATCCCTCTTCCTGGTAGGTGGCCGTGTCCTGTGATGAAGGCTGGACTCTGACAGGATGCAATGCGTATTCCTGGGGTTCCGGCACCCTTGGTGCCTACGCCGTGGATGACACTTGCGTGGTAACGAGCGCTCTCGCTGGCAAAGGGGCAGGGGCCATCGCCATCTGCTGCAGAAGCAGACGTTTGGAAAATGACAAGCACTCTTCCAATTACAAGTGAGGACACTGCCCGTGGCCACAAGGCGCCCCTTCTGAGATGAAACTGACATCACACCCAAAAAAACGCATTCCAAAACCATCACCTTTCCAGATTCCAGAGCTGAGGCCACTACTCCCAGTTTGGTCAGGGCTGATTGTGATGGAATAAGAATCACTAATTGCAGGTGGGAGACGTAACACATCTAAAATGCAAGGATTGTTGGTGTCTGGAAATGCTCAATCCCAGCACCCTGAGGATGAGATTCTCCCCCCGCCCCTTCTTCCATAGGACCTCCTAATTTACCGCATATGCATTCTAGCAGGGCGACATTTGGCAAAAAGTCCTGCCCACCAGTTTGCAAGCATGTTTTTTCTATTACCAAGCAGCAAGGCTATAAGCTCAGTGTCAGTCAAGTGGTTTGAGGGTGACCTAAGGAGGTGTATTTACTGCACCAGGTCAGCAAGCACCTTTACTGGTCTTGGCATGGTTGCTAGGTACCTTGGTTACCTCTCCAGCATTCCGTGGGTATTTGTGTTACCACCTCATCCTTTTTCTACACTCAGGGACGGATTCTCCCTCCTGCTATAGTCCCCGTGAGCTCCTTAGATTTGGCAAGGGGAGAATTCCCCTGGCTCAGGAACTGGTGTTGTGTGGCCCTCTCTACATCCCCTAGTGCAGAGAGCGATGGGTGAGGGTGAAGCTGTCAGGGCTGCCATTAAGGCGATTCTGGCTGGTATAGTCTCCCATAGGCCGTTCAGCTGTCTCAGCCTTCGCAGCAGCAACACAGTCAGGGTCCAAAACGTGCCTTAAAGCCAGTGTAGTCCGTCCCCCCCACCTCGGGCTCAGACTGATCCTCCCGGAAGTGCAGCCCAGGGCCCTCGCTCTGGTTTGCAATTAGTCAAAAACTCCAGCAGGGATTTTAATTTTTTTGTTTGTTTCCAATAAAATCTCTTATTTTCCGATCGTTCTATAGCTTCTTTCCTCCGAGCAGAGCCCCAAGTGCCTTACCGACCCTGGCTCCAGCAGTCATGGCACTGAAACCTGCAAAGTGAAGGCCTCTGTGTGCAACAGAGCAGTGTGGGCAGTGCCATACATTCCCCCGCCTGGCTGCCTCTGAGCTGCTGAGACAGGTGAGGTCAATGGGGAGGGAATTATTCCCCCCCCTTCAGTGGAAAACCCACCAGAGAGGAACATCAGGGAGTTAGATTTGGCCCAGGCCTCCACTGGGTCTCCTAGTTGGCAGGCCTCCTTGGCCACACCATCCCCATGCCCTGATCTCTGTGTCTGCGGAGGTTCTCTGTGCAGGTCCAGAGATTGTGCCTGAGGCCTACTACCCTCTGTCTGGGGACTGTTTCCTTCATTAGCTGAGACCAACCACATGCGGGTCAGTTCTGATTATTTTTGGGATACAGCCTCCTGTCCACTAGGAACTGGACTGAAACCATCACTTCACTTTCTCTAGGCCCCCCAGCCAGGATCAGCTGATAACAACCAATACCCCAGTGATGAATGCAGTATGAATTCCTAGGAAGTACATTAAAGCTAATCTACATGATCTGTAGCTTAGCCAGGCTTGGTTTATCTCACTACAATCCCTGACCCCACAATGCATTGAGATTGTTTACGTAAACATTTATCGTACAAGAGTGATCTTTATGGTGTATTCATTTACATTGTCAGTTTGACAAAACCAGAATCTCTGTAACCAAATGCACTGTTCGTGGGGGCTTTTTTCTTTACGCCTCAGATTTCAACGAGACCCCTCAGCGCTAAGCTTCTCTAGTTTGGCACTTTTTGCAGCTTTAGCTTTTCCAAAAGGTAGCCTAATAGTGTGGCAAATAGACCCCAGTTTACTCTGTCAAGCTTGCAACCTCTAGTTAACTGCTTGCTTAATCAGATTTTAATTTGTAAAGATAAGAGTTTTTGCTGCTTTGTTAGCTTTTTTTTAAAAGAGCAAAAGAAAGTTGAAGTATAAATGTCGACCTACTGTATTGCTTTAACTGGTTTCCTTTGGGGTCCTCCCTCCTGGGAAGTTTGTTTGAACGAACATGCTGTAATTCATTACCTGTTTTTTTTTATAAAGAAAGCTTTCATCGTACTGTGGTTTTTACATTTGTATCTTGAAAATATTTATTCTGAGTTTTATAAACAGCACATTTTATAATGTCTTTTTAAAATAAAAATATGTATGCCGCAGCTTGGAGTTCATCTGTATACTCAACTGTCTTAGTGCAACATGGCAGGAGATTAAATCTGGAGGTAAAGCATTGTGAAAGGGCATCCATCTCCCAGGGAACTTGCATGGTGCTAAACCATCCATGTTGCTTGAAATTGACAGGAGAGGAGACAACTCAGGTGCAGAGGTTAGCCCAAGTACAGGACAGTGAGCAGGAGTCCTGGCTCCATTAAGGTTTAGCTGGGAGCGAGCCTCCCACCTGGTGTAGACAAACTTGTGCTAACAGGGCTCAAGCCAGTGCACTAAACCCAGCAATGTGGATGTTCCAGCTTGGGCTGGAGCTCAGGCGAGCTTGGGCATCCAAACTTTCACCTGAGGCAGAATGGCCACAGTGCTATTTTCAGTGCACTACCTGGAGCCTCTAGCGGGCCTCTGCCTGACATGTTAGTCATTCTGTACCTGCTACCCTCTCTTACAGGGTAGCATTACAGCTCCTCTTAGAGGTACTAGAAGGGCAAAATTCTCTACCTGCACCCTTCAACTACCTGTTAGCCCATGGGAAGAATCAGTCACTTCTGCTAGAGGAACTAAGAGTGAAGCTATTTTACACATGTACCTACGATAAGCCAGAGCAGTGAATAAAAAAAATTCGACTGCATAAACCTCCTGTTGGTTTGTGTTAAATGAGGCCTTAGATGGAAAGTTACCAGTTAATAAATAGCACATTATATCATCCCTCTGATTAAATTCATTAAAGGCCTCCACAGATTTGCTTCTATTCATTCTATTTAGAAGCTGCTTTTACCATATCATATCCATAATAAAGCTAACCTCTTAAGAACATTTGAGCTATTGTCTCAAATAGAAGTGTGGATGTAAACAATATCTGATAAGTGCTCTAATTTAGAAGTACTTGGAGTTTTCATAAGGGAACAGTTGGGCTGTTTTAACAAGTAAAATGTTTCAACTTTAAACTGACTTGGATAGTCAGAGTGGATCTGACCATACACTCTCCTTAAGATATAGCCCACAAAGGAGCTGGGAAAATGATCAGTTTGAATTACAGTTGGGTAGGATCTTCTGAGAAGTCAGTTATCTCAATTTGGTGTACTAAATAAAATACATCTAGCAGGACTTAAGCTGCACTTAAAGAAGGGTGGCTATAGTACAGATCGCTGTTGTAAGAAGACAGCTGCAGGTTATCTGCCACATGGGGCTAACAGTAGGGATGCAACAGGGTTAGGGAAAGGTGGCGTCTATGATGTAGCATATCTCAAACTTCTACTTGAAGCACATGCAATGCCGTGTGCTCTGCAGGGGGAAAGAGAGAAGGTAGCAGCTGAGTCGTCTGGCATCTGCACTCAAGTTCTTTTCCCTCTGAACCCTAAACAAGGAATAAATCTCTTGCACTTACCCCCCCCCCAAGAAATGACACGAATTAAGCTGAATCTGGTGCTTTGTTTTGTCTAGCGTTAAGGCACAATTTCATCCACTGTAGAAGACAGATTAGTCTGACTAATACAGGTAAGTGGGCTAGCTATGGAACTGACCAGTGTTGAAAGCCTGGGCTGTCATTGAGCACACCAAGCCTTGGTTACGCCACATCTGAACACAGTACAGGAAGATTTCATCCACATTAAGCAGTTCCCTGGGGAGGTGCTTTATCATAAAGACATTAAAAGCAAGGATTGTTCAGCATAAAGGGGTTTAATTTGCTCAACTAAACAGCAAATAACCCATCTGAGCATTGTCATGTGATTAACATTAAAGAAATCAAAAACACTGCAACAGATTAGTCTTATTACAACCTAAGAGGTTTCCAGCACTCTCAGTTTCCTTACAGATATTCATCAGTTTTAATACAAGATTAGCCCCTGCCTACCTGTGCCAAAAGCACACCCTATGTTAGAGCTGTCAGGACTCTCATCAGATTGTTGCAAAGATCCAAGTGTGTGTGCAATATTTTTTTTTAAGCAAGCAAGGACAATCTGCTCGATTTTGAACTCAGGACATCTAAATCTGAGGAAAAATAGGAAACCTTTCCACTTCAACTTAAAACTACGTAAGTAAGAAGGCTGGAGGGCAGAAAACATTGCTGGTCAGTAGGATGCTCCTTAAAGAGCAGAAACAGATTTAATAAAAGCTCAAAAAAGGGTATGGAAAATTATGTGCACTTTACTGTGCTCATTGGAAGGTTTCACGGCTTACCCAAGGAGATCAAAATTGGTTTTCCTAAATGATAGGGAGAGCAGTGAAGAATTGCCACTGTGCCTGAACAAAACAGTAGCAACAGGGCCAGTTCTCTCTTTAGAGGCATAACTGCTAACAGCAGCATGATCCCTGGCAAATCAGTATTTTCTACTACCCTGAGGCATGCTAGGGCACTTCAGAGCCCTCTGACATCTTCCAATATGGTGTCTGCTGCTTCGTGGTTGATACATGAGCGAAGTGCATTGCTCCATTTCGTGAAGGGGTGAGATAAGAGAAAGCTCTCACAATGCTTAAGCCCCTGAGAAGTGTGGCGTAATAGCTAGCTTGGAGATCCAGATCGTCAGCGGTTAAAGCACCAGTATATTTCACGCTAGTGTATAGTCTCAAGGTTTTGGACTCCTGCTACCAAGTAATTAACATGATAGGGGGCAGCCTTATCATGCTTGAAGATTAGTAGTTTCTTCTCAACAGTGCAGAGGTGCTTTGCTTTTACTTAGCGGATTAAAACACTCATCCACAGGATGCAGGGAGCAGGCATCTGTCAGGAAGGGTTTTGTTTCATTAAGAAATGTAGAGTTGCGTCTTACATACCTGTTTGAAGCTATTGTGTCTTTTCTTTCTACAAAGAGGAAGACGGGGCACATATAACAACCAGTACCATGTCGTTTTGTTTCCTGCTTTTCATAGAAGTTCTTTCTTTGAACCAGCATAACTGGAGTACGCAGAATCTCACTGTTTTATGCATCATGCACAAACTGAAGTCAGTATCAGTGCAAAGTCTGGCCCTCAGGCAACTTCCAGCTAATCCTACTATGTGACAAGCAAAATATTCAGAGAGCTTAGCCAGTCTAATCAAGTGATTTTATT